TCTTGCTCTCCCTTAGTCGTTCGCTTCCTTCAAGAAACGATACAACTAGTCTAATCTATCATCACAGCAAATTTAAAAAAGCGAGTATAATAAACCCTAAAAAATGTCCGCATTTATTCAACTCGTCTGCAGTGTCTGGACCGGAAGAATTACCAACAGACGAGGAGAAGCTAGATACAAGAAACGCCTTGTGCGGACATTCGCAGTAAAAAAACTGCTGTAGAAAAACTCGCCTTAGGAATATTTCGCCGTAGGAAAACTCGCCATAGAGAATTTTTGCAGTAAGCCAATTATGCTGCATTTTTTTGATAGCCTTAACTGGAACGTCCATTTTGGAGTAATATTCAATGTAATATGTGAAGCACATTGTTATCAAGAATATATGGATCAATCATCAGAAAAGAAATTAAAGGATCAATCATCAGAAAAAGAAATTAAAAGGGAATCATTTATTTAAAAATAAAAGACTAACTATATATATATATATATATATATATATATATATATATATATATATATATATATCAATATCAAATTAACGAATAAATAATTTAAAAATGTGCAAATTCCAAGAAATGCTTTGTAAATAATGTTTTTCTTTCGTTGGACTGTAAAGAAGCATTATCCACTGAAGTCTTGCATTGATATCAATAGATAATTTCTTCATTTATACTGCATCTCCTTGATCTAAATCACACCTTTTCTTTTTTGCTAATGTCTCTTCCATTTTCAAATTCGCAATTAGTTTCCACAAATTTGGGTGTATGTTCCCATAACTTAGCTTATTAAAATGTTTATATCGAAGTAACAATAGTTTCATCCAGATATACTTGATAACAAGTTACTTCACATATTTAAAAAAAAAAAGCGAGGCAAAATTATCTTACGGCGAAAATACTATATGGCAAAGTTTTCTACGGTGAAAATTCCTGTATCGAGTTTTCTTACGGCAAAAATATTTACGGGGAATGTTCGTAAAAACAAAAGGAACGTAACACAAACCTTGACGAAATCCAATACCGTCGACTTTTACTAAATGTTCACGTAATACATGACCGAAGCGCCACTTGTATTTACTGAATAGCGTCGTTCTATCGACGTAAGAGGAGTGCATAAGAGCAAGTTATGAGCATACTTAGTATAGATAACGACACTAGACGTGAAGAGGTTAAGATGTTAGTGAACATTTCCCAACTAGGCGTTTATGCAGGTGATACAACCATTTAATGATATCACTGTATCAAATCTGGCAGATCTGTCGAAGTAAACCTGGCAGCTATTATTGTAAACGACCTCTAATCAGGGGTTACCGTGTGATAAAATGACCAATAAATTTTAACGCATCCAAAACAAAACAGTTTTGATTTAACCACCATAGAGAAACATTTTTCTACCTGCCATCATCATGTCCGATGCTAGACTCCAGGAGAGCCACAAACTACGCCTTCTTGCACTGAATGTTTCCACTGTTTTGAGGTGGAACTACCACATCGAATCAAAAGCTGTATCTACTCCAACTAAAGTTGGATCACTGAGCCAGAAAATGATTCTCGTCAAAATGTATCTTGCACATTTACAAATCTACCATTCGTCTGTTGTTTCATCTGGTCTGATGCTCCTGCTGTAGATGGCGAGATTATATAATGTAGTCGATCATGACTAAACATCATGACATCAGTCACTTTCTCACTGACGCGACGTGGCTTCAATCGATCCCATCTACTAATATTTTCATGGCAACTGCTCTGACAAGCTATTTTACCAGGTACCTTGAATAAATGAATTTAAGCCTGCTACTAGATTGACAACTAGGTCCCACAGAGTTTACTATTGAAAAAGCTAAATGAAACCACCAATTCTCCTCCAAAACTTTCTATTGTCGCACTTCCTTCCTGTGGAATTCTCTTCCGTTTAGTGGTTTCCTTGATAACAATAATCTTCAGACATTTAAATACAACGACAAACGCATTCTCCGGTCTTCTTGAAACCAGTTAATCTTTTGTTTTTTCCTCTATTCTACCCATACCCAGTCTTGTCTTTCATTTCCATTCCTCGTATCCCAATGTGTATTAGTGAAATTACTGACATGCTTTGGAGGAAATGATAAAAGATTCAGGGAAGTTTCCTTCCGGTTGCCTGATGCACAATGGTGTAATTAACGGGTTTTCTTTCTTACCAACAGATTACGAAGAGAATGAGAGGATACATATATCCTCTGGATCTGGCATAACGAGTGCTAGTTGTTAAAGTTCTACAAGATTAATCATTGTATCGCGCCTGGAAAAGTTGAATCGCAAAAGACGGTCAATGTAAGACGGTTTTTTGAAAGAAAAAACATTCATCATGATTTGAGAAAATTCACTCTCTGCTCGGTGATTATGGTTTTCATTGTATTGAAAGTTTCATGTCACCATTGAGCTGCTAGAACTGGGCCGGAAAAGAAATCAGAGGGCAAGTTAACATGGAATTAAACCCAAGAAAATATCTGACGTATGACATGCAACGATAGAAAATCACCGCTAGAAATATTTGTATCTATTTTTGCTAAACATCTATCTATCTATCTATCTATCTATCTATCTATCTATCTATCTATCTATCTATCTCTGCTATACTCGTTCAAGATCTGGAACACGTTACCTTGACAATTTATTACTAACATTCTTTGTCTTAATGGTGTTTGTCAAGCATATATCACTGCATTCTTCTACTTCGTTGGTTTTCGTATGCCTTGTGAGTGTTAAATTTGGACATGTGTGTAGCGTAGCTGTTACCGGCGCAAAAAAAATGGGATTTGCGTGTCGAATTCAAATATATACACTTTGCATTTGTTTTCTCTTTCTCACATATGCACATGGAAATGTTAGGAAAATGAATGACAAAATGGAAAAAATATCGTATGACGCGTTTCGTCAGTTAGGGCATCTTCAGACTAAATTGATTATTTACGTGGAGATATTTCCGTATGCGAACAGAATGGAAGGAATGCTGAACTTTTAATAACCTTATTAATTTAATATTGTGCTTCTGGGCATATAATCTTGCAATTTAATTTATCATATATATATATATATATATATATATATATATATATATATATATATATATATATATATATATCAGGTCATCCCATAAGTTCTGTCCGAATTTTGAATAAAGAACACAAGTGACCAAATGTTACATTTAATTACAGATTCAATCAACAATGTATTTTCCCTGATTATCTATGACTTCCTTCAATCTATTAACAAGCTCACTAATTCCATTACTGTAAAACTCTTTTGGCTTTAATTCGAAGAACTCACAAATGTCAGTTTTAACCTCTTCCTGTGTTACAAAAGCTGTTTATTCCAAATGATTCTGTAAGCTACGTAACAAATGGTAGTCTGAAGGAGCAAGATCGGGAGAATAAGGTGGATGAGGAATTTTCTCCCAACCAAGTTCTTCGATCTTTTGTGACATGATTCTTGCTGTGTGGTTTCGTGCATTGTCCTGATGAAACATCACCTCTTTTCGATTCACTAGAGCAGGTCTTTTTTTCTCAAAGCTTGGTTCAAACGCTGTAATTGCTGACAGTATATTTGAACATTAATTGTTGCATTAGGTGGTAAGAATTCAAAGTGGATTATTCCTTGGCGATCCCACGAGATTGAAAGAAGAACCTTTAACCCAGGAAGTTCCCTTCTCGGCTGTGGCTGGGGCCCTTCTCCTTTACCAAGCCACTGTCTACGTCGCTTAACATTTCGATAAAAGATCCATTTTTCTTCACCAGTCACAAGTCTATCCAAAAAAGGTGAAACAAGTTGGCGAGAATGGAGAGAAAAGCAGATGTCAACTCGGGATTTGAGGTTGTTTTCAGACAATTCATGAGGCACCCATTTTCCAAATTTAGGAACTTTTCCAAGTTGTCGAAGATGACGATGAACAGTTGTATGGTTTGAACTGAGAACCACTGCTAATTCCTCAACTGATAAAGCAGGATTTTCTTCAAGGTCTGCTTCAAGAAGCTTTTCATCAAATCTAACTGGACGTCCGGTTCGATATTCATCTTCAAGGGGGAAATCTCCACCTCTGAATTTTGCAAACCATCTTCTGCAAGTTCTTTCATTCACACATTCCTCTCCATAAACTGAGTGAATGTTTCTAGCTGCTCGGCTGCTGAGTTTCCTTTCTTGAACTCATGAGGCATTATGTGCCTCAAATGATTCTTGGGTACTTCAATGTTAGCAGGGTTTTAATCAAATTGTTCTCTGAAATAAAATTTGATCGGTTTAAATGCATCCAAACATAAAAATAATGTTCAGCAGCATTAGACATCATAAAATTTTAAATTTCGTTCATATTAACAAAAAGTTAAAATTCGGACAGAACTTATGGGATGACCTGAGATATATATATATATATATATATATATATATATATATCTTTTGTTATTAAATACCCTACAATGTGATAATCAAAAATCTGCCATGGAAGGCGAAGTGTTATAAAATCCTAAACGGAAAATTTCTCCCACATTTGGAAATGCATCTATCTCAACTTTGTCAACATCTACAGATTAATTGCATCGCAGAGATATTTCTAGCTTTTGTTGACAGTCTAAGAAAAGATGAATTCTGATTCCGAAACACTAACTTTCGCACTAGTAAATTCCGATCCATAATAACCTACGTACTATAAAATCAGCACCTGGTGTGGTTCATCCTGGGTATGACGATAAACTAAATCGGCGTCCAGGGTAAGACGATAAACTACGTTCAACAGCAAGGCCTCTGACCCGGGCTGGTAGCATCTGTTAGGGTCCCAGCTATGGGCAGATAGTTACCCCGCCAACTGAGGTAAAAAGCATTATAAAAGTGTAAAAAACAGGTTTTAATACTAGAGATACTTTTTAAAAAAATATATTACCAGAAATAGATGTTTGACAAAACAAAATATAACAAGGAAAAGAAAATCTTGTCATTAAATAACCAATTGAGGTTGATATGCCGCAAAACAAACTAATGTGGTGTGGTTAGGGAAGAAGAAGAATAAGAAGAAGAAGAAGAAGAAGAAGAAGAAAGAAGAAGAAGAAGAACAACAACAACAACAACAACAACAACGTATCGATTCTGGAGGCGAAATTTTTTTAACTCATTTTATGAGTTCAAGATTCCATCTTACCCCACTTTGTGTGGCAGCCAAATACGTAACGAAATTCGTAGTAAAACCAGTTCGTTAGTTTCTTATAATGGTAATTTCC